CCCCCCCCCCCCCCCCCCCCCCCCCCCCCCCCCCCCCCCCCCCCCCCCCCCCCCCCCCCCCCCCCCCCCCCCCCCCCCCCCCCCTTAATAACTTTTATGATGTTTATTTTTTACCAGCAAAAATTAAATCAGAAGTGTCAAATACATAACTATAATGAATGAGTATTTACCATCTGCGGCTAGTATAATAAAACAATAATGTTTTGAACACTTTTTTGTTCAATATCAGTTTTATTGATAACAAAAATTCATATTTAAAAAAACAATAATAGTTTCTGCCTTATTTTGTGTCATGATAAAAATTTTGCACCACTTTCTCTCAATTTCTTTTCAGAATCGTGTCAAAAAAGATGAGAATATAAAAAATTAAAACAGGTTTCGCCATTGTGTTTTATTTATTTAATCTTTCCTATCAACAAAAAAAAAGTTATTTTCTTATGTTACTTATTATTGAACTAGTTTACTTTCTTTTCTGCATTTTGATTAAAATTGACTTAAACTCTTTTGTATCAATAATAAAAGTTTTCTTCTATTGTTTCAATTCATCACATAAATTTGTAATGGTGAATTGCAAAAAGATGAATTTTCATCCTCGACTTCATTTCCTTTCTCTCTATGTAGGATAAACTGTTCTGCGCTGAGAAAGATACACACACCTTTTCCAGATCACGGCTAACAAATTTTCAAATGTTAAATATGATGATTTACATCTAAAAATAATATTTTTAGTAGATTTGCACGCAGATACGCTACATTGAGCAGTTTTACCATTAAAACTAAATAAATAAGAACATACACATATACATATTAAGGTAAAAGGAGAAAGTGCATTCACTGTTCGTTGAAATAGATGTTCACACAAAAAATAAATGTTCAGTTACTGTTAAGAGAGAGAGAGAGAGAGAGAGAGAGAAAGAGAGATCAAAAAGAGTCTAGAAAAACAGTAGTAACATATCAATCTATTTAAAAAATAAAAGGAAGTGAACAAAATCTAAATGAAGTGAAATAAAAATATATTTTTTTTAGAAAAACAAACCTCTAATCTAAATCGGGAGAATGGACACACAAAACTAATGTGTCCTTTCATTTTAATTTACTCCTAATATACTCTAAAAACAGTTTAACTATTTAGAAAAACGATACCTGTTTGCTTCAGACACATAGAACTTAGTGTTCAGTCGATTTAATTCTACACGCATTTTACATGTTAAAAGAATATTGAATCTTATTTATTATCTTTTGGTAATAATGTTGACGTTGTTGTAGTGGCTGGTATTCCTAGTAAAGTTGTTAATTTTGTTGTTTGTGTTTGTATAATGTTTGATGGTTCATTCGTTGTCGATTTATATTTAGGAAAAGCGAGACCGAATCGTGTTTCAATACCTTCAAAGGTGGCCAATGCCAAATGAAATCCGCCAATATGATCAGGATTTGTTGATGATAATATATTACGTGATATTGTGTGTTGTTGATCTTTTCCACCTACTTCTGTATGAGAACCTTGTAGTTTTCGTCCATGAAAATCAACATTCAAAAAACGTTGTAATAATTCATAGGTTAACAGTGTAAAACCAAATTGAGGGGATGATCGAAACATTCGTGCGCCCGCACCTAAAAATATAACATTAGTTTAACCTTAGAACACATTCACTCAACAGAATAGCTAACCTTTCCAAAATGCTGTCCATCCTTCTTCTCGAAAAATCTTAATAGCTGCATCGGTCAATCCTAAATATGCTGTCTGACCTTTACGCGCTACGACTTGTAAACGTGTTTTAATTACATCAGCAGGTGTACATAAACCAGCAGCTGGTATACCAGCTAAAAGTCCAGATATAAATAATGATTTCGGATCATTGTAACCCTGTTCATTTGCCATTTTCTTTTTTGTATGCGCATAGGCAGGAAAATAAATTGCCGAAAATGGTATATCACGTAGAAAACATGCTTTAGCACCTTTGTATAAACCCAAAAATCCCAATTCACGAACAACTTGTATGGCAGAAGGACGAGGAGCTGTTTGAATTTCTCCCGCAACTTGTAAACGAATTTTTACAATTTCTAATGGATTTGTGAATGTTACCTAAAAATAAAAAATAAATTACTATGATGACGTTTAACAAACGCAAAATGTTTACTTGTGACGCTCCAGCACATCCACCAGCCACAACTTCACACCATAGTGGTATTGTGCCATCTTTTAATGTTAAACGATCACGAATGAAATCATTCACTACATAAACAAAACGGAATATATTGAGTAAAGGATGAAATGACTATTAGAATCATTCTATGTTACTTGTTAACTTTATGGCTTTTTCCGGTGCAACTCCAACAAGTTGCGGTACCAATCCTCGATACAATCCGAATACTCCTTCGTGTCTCACAACTTTTTGAAAACAATCTAATGAACTTCGATACATTCTTTCACCGACAATACTTCCCGAACGTTGATTTTGCATACGAGTTTTCACCTAAACAAACCAAAAAGCAAAAATATTAAAGAATTCTATGAAAAAAAGTCATGGTTAAAGTCACTCCATGCCATTTGAATAAAACGTGATTCCGTAATGTTTTGTGCTATTTTCTCGCCTTTATATCTTTCGAACGAAAAGGCGCCTAGAGCTCACGGCTGCCTCATTTTGCCAAGAAAATTGTACTTAACAAGGGCACATCTCAGAGCTCTCTAATATTTTCTGTTATGAAAGTATATCAACGAAACGTAGATAAACATTGTCTGAAAACGAAACTTTTCCAGTAGTATTGAATATTTTCGTAATCTTAAGCAAAAAGTCGTGAGAACTCTGATATGTGCCGTTTTGTTAAGCCCACTTTTCTTAGCAAAATGAGGCGTTGTCGATCGAGTTTCGTAGATTGGTTCTATTGACAATTGAAAAACTTACTAAATCAATTGGATAGACAGCTGTGGCACCGACAGCACCAGCAATTGAACCTAAATATCAATGGTAAAAAAATGTGTTATTTTATCAATTACCAACTTACCTAAAGCAAATCGATATCCGGATTCTAATACTTTCATTCCAATTCCTTGTCGCTCTATGTTATACTGTTCATCGATAATTTGTGTCTTAATTCGATAGGGCATTTGATGTTCATGTTGACCAATGAGATCAAAATCTCTTAATAATAGCCCAACTTTATCTTGATCTGTATCAATTCCTCGTCCAATGCCTTGTTGATGTAACAAATGAATAATAGCAAATAGAATATCACATTGTAATGGTGTTGTTCGTGGAAAATGTTGTGCTTCATTTAAAAATTCTTGTTTTGAAACACATATTTGTTGTTTAAAGTGTGCCGGATGTTTCAGACATGCTTGTAAATAAATTTTTTTCATTAATTCTATATTGTTTAATAATTGTAAAAATGCCATAAAATATGGAAATGTAATATGTGTACTATTATCTAAATTATATTTTGTTAATTTAATAATTTCATACAAATTTCCAGTAATAAAATCAGATAATTGATATTGACGCAATTCTTTTAAAATATAATCAAAATTTTTTAATGTAATGTAACCTTGATTCGAATTATCCATCGTTTTAAATGCTTGTATTGTTTGTTCATCAATGAAATCTAAACACAAAAACAAATCAAATATGAACATACACATTATATATTATATCATGGCCTTCATTATTTTTTAATTACCTAATAGAATTTGTGTAAAATCTTTATAATTAATTTGTCGTTGACGTTTAGCACCAAAATGTAATGTAATAAATTCACTATCAAAATTAAACGGAAATTTTTTATAAAATGATGTTGATGTAATGATATCTTGAAATGATTCGAATGTAATTAGACCATGTCCAGTTTTATCAAATAATTGAAAGGCGAGACGATAGAGAGAATCAGAAGCAAGTAATAATGATTCAAATTGTTGAAATTCTGTAAATGTTATTCGTTGATCTTTGTTTAAATCGACTAATGACGAAAGAATATCTAATGTTTTTGTTTCAATATTATCACCTTTTAAATAACATAGATAATCTTGAACAAATTCATGTGGTGTCATATAATTTTCATTTTGATAAACATGATGTGCATATTTATCGAATACAGCACGTAATTCAGTACGATTAGCTGACGATATTGAAACAAGAGCTAGAAAGAGTGCAAATAACATGATGTAATAATGCAATATTTTTCAACAGAAAATAGGATAATTTTAATTCGCAGATTCGTTCTCATTTGATAAAAACATTATTCAGTAAACTTGTTCCCACTCTCAGACTTTGTATCAGAAACACGGACAAGAATGATAACTTTTAAGGAGTCTGATGAGCGTAAACCACAAAAACGTTGACAAATTTACGCAATCAGAACATCTAGAGTGGTTCGATAGATATCGCCATAAAGAATGTACATCAGTATTAGCTTCTTGTTACATGAAGAAAAAAAAGCTTTATTTACATCCGCCATGATCGTCGTGCGGTGTTGTTGTTGTTGTTGGAATCTCTTTTGCTTGAACTTTCATCATTTTCATTATTAAGTGTTGGTTGTTGCTCTCAATGATCAATGACCGAAAAACATCGACGACAAAAAGAACTAATAATAAACAAAACGATAAAAAACACAACACCAACGACGACCAACAAAATATGATCTAAAAGTAGATGTTACATAATAAATATGCAATGACATATCAGTAAACATTCCAGTGAAAAATGCTAATTAAAACAATGCATCTATCCAAATGTTCAATAACGAGATTATACTTATTTTTAACGTATAGTTATTTACAGCGAGTAAAAGAGATACAAAAACGACTGAAAATCATACTTTTGTTTAAAAGTGAAATGATTAATTCGTAGTCTGTAACATTCACATATAAATTTACAAACATAATTGCATTTTCTTCAAATCTTTAAAGTTGTTAAAATTCATCATCTACCTTTAGTTTTTTATCAACAAAACTGTAAATAAATTGAATTTGTTATTTGATTTAATAATGTTTTGTGCAGAAAAAAATAGCAACTTTTCACGTGTGAAAATTCCGAATGGCTTTTTTTTAACCATCTAAGGAAAAGATTATACAATTACTGGTAGATTCTGCATTCTAATTATATTTTTTGTATATAAAATTCAAAAAGTCAGTACAAATCAAGAGTACTGTTTCTTTTTTACTACTCTTCTGATCGTGGTCATTACTATTGGCGATATATTTGTTTAACGTTATCCGTCAGGGACCACTTTTAACGTCTTTTCATGTTGACAATAGTAATCGACAGCTATTTTCGTCGACTCTAATGCGGTAAACAGCCTTTATTTTACCTTTATTTTATATCCGAATAAAATGGCTCCCGGCTATTTCGGTAAGCTTTCCTTCTTCTTTGTCATCCTTTAAAAGAGCAGTATCTTAACATCGTTTACAATAAACATTTAGTCATATTTCTAGCAATCATGTGTTCGTGCAGAGATGGGGGACTCGAGTATACTCGAATACAAATTTTTCAGTACTCGTGCTCGGAACTTTTTTTTTCGAGTACTTAAAAAAAATATATTCGAGTATTTTCGAGTACTTCAAATTATTCTATTATGCTTTACAAAGAATTTTTGGCCTTGAAAAATGAATAAATATGATTATTATAGTCACAGAAAAACCACTTTGAGTTCTTTTTCTCTCTTACTCTCAGTTATATGCTAGGTTTTTGTATGTTCTGAAGTTTCTTTCCCTTTGTTTCTGGCTATCGTTCTCTTGGAACAGACCATCAGCTAAGAAGACGCATGTGAATTGTAAAAGAAGATAGGAAGGACACAGAGACTTCTTATCTTTTCCTAGGGGCCGTATCACAAAAAAACTTAAGTCAGACTTAAGTCTTCGTTATGTACACTTACGTGCTCATTCTATACACTTAAGTATCACTTAAGTCTAGACTTTGACTTAAGTGTTTTCGTGATACACCTCTTCTGTAGAAGAAAATAACTCGGAAAAGAAAAAAGTGAACTGTGTCTTTTTTTGTTAAAAGTATAAAGAAAAACCTTATTTGATCTTATTTTAACGAAATATCAATCAAATCCTCATCTATTAAAATTAACTCTAAAACATTTTACTGTCCCTACAACATCTGCACCAATAGAGCGAATTTTTTCTCAAAGTCCCTTTATCACCCGCCCACATCGTTCAAAGTTATCAACATCAACGTTATGTATATTAACATTTTTAAAATGTAATAATGATCTTCTAGGATAATGTTTCATTCTTGTGTGTTCAGATAAAGTAAAAGTAAAACAAATGAATAGTAAAGACTAAAATAAAAAAACTAAGACTAACTCTCCTTCAACTAATAACCGGAAAGATATTGAAAGTGGCTATTGTTAGGCTAAAACTTTTTTCATGAGTATTTTCTTCTTTTAGAAAATACTTTTACTCGAGAATCTGCGTACCCGCTCATTGCTGTGCTTGTGCTAGGCTATTTTTGTTTATATTATTTTTATAGTAAAATGATAACTTCCTTGACTGCCTTGGTGTTCTTTTATTGGCTAATAAACGCCGACCAACAGAAATTCGAAAACAAACCTTCAGCTAATGTACAATGATGGGAGCATCTTGTAATAAAAACATACATATAGTAGATTAAATGAGAAAGAATCACCTAATTGATTCTCCATGAATATAGATATAATCGTGTATCAAATCTAATGACTGTCTATAGTCTATTATTGACAGTCAATCATTTACAGATTTTTTAAGTTTTTTCTATTACCTATTCATTGGATGAAAGTTTTGCATTTCGACAAGGATTAAATGGGATTTTATTTTCTGTTTTCCTTTTTTTATGATCGATTGTAGTTACTGAGCATATTCACTATTCTATACTATGAAAACCCTCTGTAGTATAGAATAGTAAATATACTCAGTAACTACAACCGATCATAAAAAAATTCCATTTGATCCTTGTTGAAATGCAAAGTTTTCATCCAATGAATTGGTAATAGAAAAACTTGAAAAATCTGTAAATGATTGGTTTTTCCTGAATCAATTTTAGGCACCTGTTCGTCTACAGACTAGTCGAGCATGACGAATTGAAAAGAACAATCACTACGAATCAGTGAAAATATAAAGCGAAGGAGTTCGGCAAAATAGGTTAAGACTAGTTTATTCACGAAAAATGGGAGTCATCAAAGGTCTCCGGTCTGTAATATCAATGACTCGAGCTAAACTACAAAAATGACATAGGAAAAAAGAAATAGTAGAAATAAACAAATAAAAAGAAAAAAAGAAACTCGAGTATGCAACATAGAGATTAAAGACATGATAAAAATAAACACAAACAAAATAACGCTAAGAGAACAACTAACACGACTTTATTATGACTACCCATGAGGTTGTTTGTTTTGGTTGATCGTCTAATTGATCCGTCACAGCTCACAGTGATTGGAGAGAAAACTGTGATTGCATAGTGCACAAAAACCTCATGGGCAGGAACATGGCTGAATTTTGCTGTAAGAGATACTGCGTTAGTGCCATTTTGAAAGACGTTAAAGTAGAAAAACAAATAACTGACTCAGAAAGTTTATTTTATTCAGTAACAGTTGAACAGAAAAAAGAAGAAAAATCTGTTTCATATCACCGAAAAAAAATAAAATTGGTTTTGAGTTGTTCAAAACGCCTTTTCATATTCAGCACACTCGATAATCCCGAAGATTTTTTCTATGTTTGGCGAGGAGTACTTCAAAAGTTCAGGAAAAATTTTCAGACTAATATCATTTTCCCCTAGAAATTTTTTTGCGCCATTTTATTTCAAAATTTGTCCTAAACTTTTCGAAGTAACCCTCACCAGACATAGAAAATCTTCTGGGTAGTTAGTCTTCTGAGGTAAGTCATTGATATAAATAAAAAATAGGCGAGGTCCAAGCATACTGCCTTGAAGAACGCCAGAAAGAACAGTAGAAGGATTGGATAGCGTTTTTATTCTATCGAAAACGTTGTTTAGAAAACATCATAAATACGGAAGATTACTTTTTCTAAATTACCTGAAATGTGTTTGTCAATAATAAAACATAATTTTTAATCAAAACAAGGAAGAAAGCATTTATAGATGCTTTCCTACTTATGAGCGACATTTCCTCTCTTACCTTTGTACTACATTTTTTGCGCACATTCGATTTGTTTAATTATTCTCCTTCTTTAGGCATAGACTAGATATGCAAGGATTTAGTTTAGCAGTTAAAACCATCCGATCTATTTTCATTTCAATAAACACCAATAATATATAAAACTAAATATCTTATGACATTTTTAATCGAAACACAAAAAAATGACTCCAGTTTCCAGAAAATTCTGCTCGTATAAAACTCTTTTATAATAAATTCTGTAAGTTCTGTTAGTTTCCTTCACCGGTAAAAAAAATTTCATATAATAATAAAAATTTTTTATCTCTAAAAAACGGTCGGAACAAAATACGAGAGATCAAGTCATGCAGATAGAAACATAATTGTTCCTAAAACAATTTGACAAAAACATTTAAAAATTGGTGGGTATCGCTAACGATACTATCTGTAGTTTCGAAATCTTTCTGGAATCGCTTCAGAAATTCGTGCGTTCGTGTTTATCCTCCTATTCTCATATCATAGTATAGTATGAGAATCTAAGCCATGCGAGTGAGATGGAAACGCAAGATCCTTATGTGTGGACAATATTCCGACATCTTTAGTCTGGATTTAGAGATACTTTTTTTTTCTGCACTCAAGGAACTAATAAATCAATCACAGGGAATAAAAGGGAATGACTTTATAGTAAAGGAGGATACCTAGGGACATATTAACCAGAATACAAAAACACAGAGTGAGATAAAACTGAGGATTGTTTTTATGTTGATTTAATCTTCTCATCGTTATACTGGAAAATTCGAACATCATTTTTAAGTGATCGTTGTTTAACATGTATTTTGAACATTCTTATGAATGATGGTAAAATTCTTTCGTGGTTTAATCGAACGAGATGTGGAAATGCTTTTCGAAAATATTTTGTGGCTTCTTCCGAATGATAATGTGGCACTTTTGTAAATAAATGATGTATTTGATGTGTACCAGCTGAGTGTATAATCGAATGAACATGGCCATAATTTCTATCAATAGTTGATAATTGACCTCGAACATAATTCCATTCATCGCCTGAATACCATGGTACATCTACTTCAGTATGTTGTAAAAATGTAATTATAACTATATAACAGGCAAATATAAATGTGGGAATTAAATGATAGGAGATTAATGCAAAATAACCGTATGATTGAGCATATAAATGCCTAAAAGAGAGAAAAAATGTACCGAAGATTTATCAAGATGTGAGATGTATATTTACATGAGATAAAACATGAGACTATATGCTATGAGCGATGACGTAACGCCAACAATATGTTTTTGAAACATTGGATGAAATGGATTAAAATGATTGACTGGACGTGGAGCATAACCGAACACTAAGTAGTAGAACCAACCAATTCCCAATCCAAAATATGGTGCTTGAAAAGACCTTCTTCTTTCGCCAATCTTGTCCATATTTTTTGATAATTCATCGTCTACAGCCTTTAAACGTCGTGGATAAAATACTTCATCTTTATCAATATTGCCCGTGTTTTTGTGATGATTATTGTGTGAAACTTTCCATGGGTAATAAGGGACCAATACGTATGTATGTAAAATGGTACCTAAAAAAGAAAAACAAAAGAAAATTTTACGCTTAAGAGTAAGTAGCTTACAAAATTATCTCATTTGTTTTGATTTCAACGAATCCATTAAGAAAAGATGTTAGAGAAACTTAATAGGAGAAAAAAGTATTTAGATTTCTATCTAGCATCCATTAAAATCTCACTACATCCATTCGATGTGATATATTTTGAACTTTTTCCCTCCCCTTTCAAAGCACATACATCTTCTTTCAACAAAAGATTAATCAGTATGTACTGTATATCACTTAAACTTGCTCTAATTAATCTGAAGAATTTTTGTTATATTATGACAACATATTATTTGATAAAAATGTTCTCATGAAATTCAGACTTGAGTACTAGAGAGAATTTATAATTAATTTTTGCTTTGTCTCAAACACAATGGATCTAAAATTTTGTTATTACGATGTTAGTGTGGAGTGTTCGAGTTTTAAATTACTTTTTACTTTTACTTACCCATTATATCGTCAATCCATTGATGCGAACTGAATGATCCGTGTCCACAGTCGTGACCCAACACGAATAGAGACGTGTACAATGTTCCTTGTGCATACCAGTAAAGGGGAAATATTAAATAACCATATGTAAAATATTTTTGAATATAAAACATTGTTAAATATGTTAAAAGAATATAAACGGCATCAATAAATACATAGAACATTGAACGCATAACTGTTGGACGAAAACAATGTGATGGAATTTTTGATTTTATTTCAGTTAATGTTGGTAAAGGATGAAGTTTTATTGAGCCATTATTAATATAATTCTCCTTATTGACATGTACCGAATCATCCGAAGGCGACAAAATAGATGGATTATGCTTACCTTTACCCATTTGATATTATCTACAACAGAAGATGTAGAGTAACTTGGGGTAATTCCGATCAGTGGTTTAAATTTTTGTAGTATTTTTGATAGCATAAAGCTATTTTAGAACGGAAAAAACTGCTATTGCATAGATAGATAGATGCGAGTCTTAGCTATCTATTCATTTAAAAATTTCCTAAAAATTCATTATGGTTAATTAGTTTCATGAGTTTTCCAGCGCCATATCGGCTGGTGATCGGAATTCCCCCATTTGGGGTAATTCCGATCAACGCTGCCGAAACGGTAGGCGCAAAGTAAAACAACTTTTGCTCAACGGTGAATGTTCACTTTTCTAATTAAAAATTAGCTCATCTTGTAGAGAATTTTGAGCACTTTCCAACCATGTGTTTGGGAAGTTGAGACCACTTTTCTTTAATTAATTAATGAGAAACTACGTGAAAAGAAAGAAACAATCATTTTTTGAAAAAATTTCATTTGGGGTAAATCCGATCACACTACAGAATCTATTGGGGTAATTCCGATCGCTGCATGTAACACACACGGGAAACACAGAAAACAATCTCCATAAACTCACAGAAGCCGTTTTTCGCCCTACTTCAAGTGAGAAAGTTGTTTAGCACACTCTACTCTACCGTTTGATGTGAAATTTGACAGAGAAGGAAATATTTTCGGCCACTAATGGGCATAAAATGAATAGTGCTGCTTTTAAACATATTTGGTCTCATTAAAATTATAAATGTAATCAAGTTAAAGCCTTAGTTAGTAATGACATGAGAAAAAAGTTGAGATATCCAGATACGTTAGTATCTACTCTACAAAATGCACTCATTTTTTTAAAAATTAGTCTACATTCAAGGTCTCGTTTGCGCGTATGAATGCAATTGGTCACCCTATATTATTTGCCAAATCAATGATATTTCAACTGATAAGATCACGTGCATGAGTTATTCACTTTGTTAAAAAAAAACGATGACCTTGTAAGATTTTTAAGGAGAAATATTTATTAGTCGAGAAACATATTCTATTGCACAGAGTCAATCTGTGCTCGAGGTTGCCATGTATAGTGATGTCTGTAAGCGAAGAAATGCCATTAGATTTGTAAGTTGTTTTTGATTAATATTAATTAGTTCTCTTAATTTAATCCCAAAACTGTTGTAAATTTTGACTGATTAACTAAATAATAACTGTTCAGAAAAATTCGTGAGCGTTATTTTAAACAATGCTGAACGGAGAAAAGACTAATAGAATTTTGAGCACTAATAGAGATGAGAAAAATGCTGCTTTATCTCGAAATATTAACAATCGACTATAAATATAATGAAAAGAGTGGAAATCAGTACCATTATCAGTATTCTTTCCAATAAACTATTACATGCCTCGAACGTACATTAAGAAGGGTCATAGACCTGTATATTCGGATAATGACTTAAAAGCTGCTCTACAAGAAGTCTCCTCCGGAGCTAATATTCGTGTAACATCAAAGAAATTCAATATTCCGTATACAACTTTACAAAATCATCATACTGCTATCATCATACTCTACTCATGTAGTGCTTCTAATGTCTAATATGATGCGTTTTTGGTAGGAGTGGGGTGAACCAGTAACAACGAGAGATTTTCTGAATATCGCCAAATACTATGCTATTGAACTCGGCAAGAATAAAACTTACTTCCCAGGTTGAAGATTACGATCGTCGTAAACTGTGAGATATTGCCGTAAACGTCAAATGATACTGCAGTATACGTCGATGTAATTCGACGTATACGTCGCATTACGTCAAAGTAACCCCGGCCAACGTAATACGTCAACGTATTTTGAATGGAGGAAACTATCGTTTACGACCGTATACGTCAAATTACGATGACGTAAACCATGACGTAAATCAACGTTTACTGTCGTAATTTGACGTAAAATATCGTTTTTGGTGCGTTTTTTTGCTGGTTTACTAGATCGCTCTTAATCCTGTTCTTTTCACTTTACCGTCTTCATTTTCACAGTTTATCGGTGCTTCACCTTTTATTTCGATTCTTTCAAAAATCTTCCATATACACATCACCACATATCGAGAAAACAACAGTAAAAAAGTCTCTGGACAAAAAAATAACGATGAAAAAAAAGTAGAAATCAACTATCCAAGGTAGTTTAATGAATGTTGTTTAATGAATTAAGAAAAAGAGGAAACTACCTACGAGAATTACTGTTACATCAAATTATGTACAAAAATTAACTGAATTAGAAGGATTTTGAGATGAGAAGAAAAGTGATTAGCATTTGTAACACAAAGTTAATGAGCGAAAAAGTATAGAAATGGACAACAAAAATCTATGGTTAAGACACTGTTTGAGAATCAAGAAAAGCATTAGGCTTGCAACATAAGAAAAAAATGTTATTACACGTACCAAAAATAAAAATGTTGTTTGAAAGTTCTTCTTTGAGCTAATCTACTGTTGATGATTGAATTGATTGCCGTTGTGCTCGTAAATCACGTCTCATTTTCGCATATTCTTCACGTCGTCGTTCTTCAATCAAAAAGTTTGATAATTTTGTTCGAAGCAAACTTTTGTAAAATGCACCGTAATGAATATCGGCAATTGAGTATTTTATTGCAACACATTCGAAAAAAATGAAAAGAAAGTTGATTGTGAGAAAGATTTTCAAGAAACATTGACTGAGTGGAACGCGAAACTCCGTTAGCAGCACACATTATATGAATGAATGGCATTGCCATTGTACCGTTGTTGTTCATCGATTGTTTTGCTTAGAAGAATCGTTCTCCAGAACAAAACTTAATAATTTCTTTTTGGTTTGTTTGTTTAAAGATGGTTATTCAGTACTGAAAAAAAGCTTCTATCTCATTTGGTTGTGAACGAAACAAGGAAACAAGCCCAAAACAGAGTGACTTTGGCGCCGCCTCTAAAAAGAAACGGGGTTTTCCTCCATCCTATTTAAAGATTACTGAACTATACTTTAATGGAATTTTTAGCCCGAAAACAGGGCTTCAAATTATTTACTTTGATTTCAAGTAAAATTAAGTTTTCTATAAAAGCTAGAGGAAAAACTGCTGTTATAGACACCTTGCAAAATTTTGTCCTTCGAGATTTCAAGACGGTCTCCATACGACCCAAATGATTTAAAAAAGCTTTCAAATAGGCAAAAAAATAGAGCAAGAGTAGCTCTACATTTGCTAAAAAAGGGTTTTTTCTAAGTCTTTATATCTCAATGAAAACCGTGTTTGAATACGCTATACAATGTTGTTTTCACACAAAATGTCCTGTGAGATTTAAAAAATTATTTTGTCTATAACTCGATGATGAGTGATCCATTTGAGGTCAAAATTTTACCCTGTTTTCGTTCTTGGACGATTAGTATGTGATAAAAAAACGAGCTTTCAGAAACTCTTCGTTCCTGAGAAAAACGCATTTTACATCAAAAATGTCCTGCGAGATTTATTCTGTCTATAACTTGATCAAAACTCAGTATAACCGACGCTCATAATTCATCAATAGATTCCTTGAAGTCAGGGCTATCTATGTGACTGAATGTAAACCCTTTTCGAAGCAAAGCATATCCGTTGTACAATAAGTGTTACGGGCTGAAATACTTCACAATTTCTTTAATTTAACCCTTTAAAGTCCCATGGCCATTCAAATGGACATTGGCATTACAATAATAACCAACTCAGGAAGCATTCTTTAAAAATCCCAATCTTATAGCGGTTGTAGATAATTAAATGGGCTATCGAATGGTAAAAAAATATTTAGGTTATGTTTTATATCTAGTCGTTATAGAAAGGTTTGTGCTAAATTTGACATTTTCGTTTAATAATCTTCCACAAATTTATTTAAATTATGTAAACTTTCCAATGTGACGCATCGTTGTCGACGACAACTTCTTCAGACAAATAAAATAAAATTAAGGAGTTATATATATCTATAGTTTAAACGTAGAATGACAAAATCAAGACAAAATTAGTCTATTCAATTTTCTTTTGTTTTCTTTAGTCTAATTTGATAGTGATACGGAAACAAGACGGTAATAGTAATAACTGGATAGGTTTTATCTCATTCGGTATCACTATCCAATTAGACTAAAGAAAACAAAAGAAAATTGAATAGGCTAATTTTGTCTTGATTTTGTCATTCTACGTTTAAACTATAGATATATATAACTCCTTAATTTTATTTTATTTGTCTGAAGAAGTTGTCGTCGACAACGATACGTCACATTGGAAATTTTACATAATTTGAATAAATTTGTGAAAGAAAGAAAAATGTCAAATTTCTTAAATGAAGAATATTTTCGGAAAAATTTAATTTTTTAATTTAAATTTTTTAGTTGCTTTAGCAAAAGCTTTTCAGAAATATGTACGGAGATTTGCTCTTTCAAATTATGTCAGCTGAAGTAGGGGTGTTAATTTAGTGTTACTTTGGGAAACAAATGTAAATGAACCATTTATACTTAAAAAATAAATATAAATAAATGTAAAAATATTGATCTTTATTTTATAAAAGCAAAGGTATGAATAAATAAATAAATATAAATGAATCAGTTACTTATATAAAATAAAGATCAATATCTTTTCCTTTATTTATCTTATTTTTTTAAGTATAAATGATTCATTTACTTTTATCCACTATTATTATAAATGAACAATAAAACTAAATTAACACCCCTAAGCTGAAGAAACTATTGTTTAAACTGTTAGGCTGCTGATGGTACAAAACGAAAGGTCATATTTTGCTGGGAGTGTGGGCTCGTTTTCTTAGTCATTCTTGACTTTCTTCACTATCTGAGCTCATTTTCTGTCTTAACTTCCTCAAACTTAATGATCTAAACTTAGATATGTTTGGACCTTGGTTTCTAACTAGAATTCTGGAAAAAATAAGTTTTTTCAAATTTTGGTTTTGGATTTAAATTATAACAACTTTTTAAAAATGAAAATTAATCTTTTTCGAGCATGAGAAAGTCATATCGAGATCTCGTATGTTCCATTTTCATAGACGGTT